CCGATACTTTGCGAAGACATCATACACAGTCGATCTCGGATACCCGAAAAACCGAATGATTTCTGTCGCCGAGCGCCCGGCGCGAATACTTTCGATAATCGCGGCTCTTCGGTTGTACTCTGCACTGGGTTTCAACATTGCGACTGTTTCAAAGTTATGGTAGTTTAGTACATGCGTCAAGCTATTTGAATGCCAATCGCGACATCTGCCAATGGTACTGAACAGAGGAAATATCAAATTGAAATTTGTCCGGATTTTGGCGACGCACCCTGTATAGCACATAATATCGATATCAAATCGACTTGTCAATAATTGGTCGAAATTCGTGTCTATTTTTAAGTCGAATCAACTACAAATTTCAACCGTCGATCGACTAGTATAGTCGACGTCGAATCGACATCGATTTGACAAGGTATTTCTGACTGGGAATAATATTTTTTTAATATGCAATTTTTAACGTGCTTTAAACTCTCTCCTTTAAACTCTCTGCGATTTTTTGCGGCACTCTCTTTTCTTTTTTTACTGTGACTGTATCATAAGGTTTGTTCGCGTCGCATGCTCCAAAGTATATCACAGAGGGTGCGTTCGCTTTGGACGCTTACACGGTTTAAGCGCTTATAAGTATTGCTCATATCGTTCATTTTGGCGTTATAAGCGCTTACAACCTGCATACTGACGTCATACATGACGTCATATTCGCGCTTATAATTGCTTCTTCTATCGAGGTAAGGCACTGAAAGCGTGAGCGCTGATAAACGCTTATTTGTCAATGAGAACAAAATCGTGCGCATTTGATGTGATCCAACGTAACCTCTTAAGATATTTATGAAAGTCGTTCGTTTTCCTTCGCAGTTTTGCATCTCAAATATGACTTCCAAAGACGAAAATAGATCGTCAATCTCAACAGTGACTTTGCAAGATATAACAAATAACAAAACTTATACACTTGTAATCACACCAGATGAGGCAAAACGTTTGGAAACAGGCAAGTATTTTATTATGTTAATATTACAAATTTATTTCTTCTTTTCTATTTTGTAAATATTTAATATTTTTTTCTTTAATGATATTATACATTTCTTTATTTTCAGACATTACTTTTGCAACACAACTATTACATCAATATATAAATAACGGTAAGTTTAAAAAAACAAGTTTCTGTTGCATAGCAGCGTTAAATGTATAATATAGGAAATATTGTTAATGAATTCATTACTGTTTCTTTAGAAAACAAGGAGCCTACAAATAAAAACATTGAAAGCGAATCATTAGATGAAAGTACATCATTAGGAAATGAGGGAGAAGTTGGAGGTAAATTTGAAATTTGTTTTCTATAGTAACATTTACGTTTAAAGTTTTTTAATTATCTTAAAGTATGTCATGTATGTATCAGAATTTTCTTATAGTTTTTGTTTATTGTTTCAGGATTTAAATGGCCTCATGAGGCAATACTTTTATTAATAGAAGAATTTACTTTACGAGAAAACGATTTTACTACTGGAAAAATATCAAAAAAAAAACTATGGTTGTTAATTTCAACAGAAATGATACGTCATGGATACAACGTTACTAGGCCACAATGTCTTTCAAAATTTTCTGGTTTGAAGCGAACATATAAATCAATAAAAGACAATAACAAGAAGTCTGGAAGTGGAACAAGAACATGGCCATATTTTTCTGTAATTATTTTAAAACAAAGTAAGTTTTAAAGAATAAAACTTAGTACGAGTATTTAATTTGTTGTTTTGTTTACAGCATATGGATAATCTACTCGGTTCAAAGCCATATATGTCTCCTTTAAGTACTGCATCATCTACTGGAAAAAGAACACAATCAGAATCAGAATGTAGTACATCTAGTGTAGATGTAGAAGAAAAACTACAGTGTAGTAAGTAATTCTATTAAAAATAATCACACCTACTAAATATAATTGAGAAATTCAAAGATTTTACTTAATAATCAACATAATTATTAACAAATTCAATTATTTTTTTAAGTAAAAATTATGAATAAGTTTATAAAACTAAGTTTTTTATCTACAAATTTATTTAAAAAGTAATTATATTGTTACGTCCTGGGAACTCCACGGGCCCCTTTTTCTTGCAACGTGACGCGCCGACATACAATAAATTCCTTTTTTTCTCAATAAATAACACGAACGGACTCGGACTTCGACGCGATAGACGCGCAAATAGAAAT